TGGAGGAATGGAGAGTAACAAGGCGAGTGTTAACGGTGGAGAACGGTCGTTTGATAGACTCAGACTCGATGGTCAAGTTTTGGCTGACTGGTAGATAGTTTTTGTGTGCTGGTTTCACATTTCAGAATAGTATAAGGACATGTTTGATTGGACGGATTAGAGTATGTGATTGAGATTATTAATTTGTAGGTCTAATTATTCTATATTTGTTTTAATTTAGGATTATTAATCCAATGGATAATTAATCTAACAAATTTGTAGGATTATTAGTAATGGGGTAGGGATGAAATTATTGATCTAATGGATATTAATCTAATTAGATAGTGAATACTACATTTTTTTAATAGGATTATTAATACTTCACTATTAATTTTGTGAATCAAATATGAACTAAATTCATAATTTTTATATTGAATTTTATCTAAAAGATCAATATGTGACTTAGATTTATGCTATACATAAGCTACACAATATAGTAGATAAATTTTCTTAATCTAAATTCTAAGTTAGTAGAGTTTTTATTAACATTTTCCAAATATTTTTAGAATAAAACTTTAGACAATACCTCGTTTTTGGTGGTGGTGATGGTGTTGTGTTTGGTCTATCTTTTTGTTATATCAAATGTTTTGGTATTATCGTGAATTTGTTTTTTTGTTCCTGGTGTGGACATTTTTCAGAAGACAATTGTTTGTGAGATAGCAAGAAGTTTTCGTATGAAAAAATAAAAAAATCATAAAATTTGGGTTAGACGGCATGGAGTCACTACTCTAGTTTTTCATTGGCATGATTAATATTGTAATATTGTCTCAACCATTAGAGTAATGCGATTTGTGATTTTTTGTTTGTTACAATTACAATCATTAAATTTTTACTATAGGGTCTCTTGGAAAGAAAATAAAAAGTCAATTTTTACCTTTTTATTCATTTAGGTCACATTATTTCTCACATTTTTTACTCATCAAAAAATAAAATAGATAAAAAATTAAAAATTAAACTTTTTACCAACTTCTCGAAACATCCTATGTTTTTCACTACCATATAGAAAAGGTTATGAAATGGCTGAGATGTGAGATTAATTTTGTTTTATAATTAATGCCCACTCACATTATGTTAGCTTCATATGATGTTGTTTACCATTTCCTATTTGGAAATAACTTTTTCTTTTATTATTAAAGAAATCAATAAAGATAAAATAAAAATAAAAAATTAGAATATTTAATAAGATAAAATATTATATCTTATGTATCAATTATTTTTTTTTTTTTCTTCTCACAATCATCTATTCAACTATCAACAAAAAAATTATAAATAATATTCACAAATAATCTCAAATACAATTTTTTTCACCATCATAAAATAATTAAAAAATTAAAAAATCAACTAAAATACTCAAGTTCTGGAACAAAGCCTTAATATTTATTCAGATGAACTTAATTTTGTTGGTGGGAAGTAATTGGCTATCCAAGATTGTAGTGGGAGGCCGAATTTGATACATGAATGAAGCATTAAAATATATAGTTAAAGCCCATAACCGACACTATGGGCCCACCCAATTACGATCTTATCATTTTATTTTTGTGAAAGGGTAGAGAAATTATTCATTGCCACCATTTATATTATATTTGGACAAATACTTAATTGTCTTTCCATATAAGACGAACAAGTAATGTAACTTATTATTTCAATCAATAATATTTATATTGGGCCACCATCTATTATAATTTTTCAAAGAATAATATTATATGTACTAATTAATATATTAATTAATAAATTAACAGATGATGTGATATAATTTTAAATGTTTTAAGTATTTGTAATTTATATAATACGTGGAATCAGTAATAATAGTATAAAACTAATTGATGTACTAATGTTACATTAATTAGTATATGTAATGCTACCGTTTCTTGAAAAAGTAGGTTGTCTATGACACTTTTGACTTCAGGCTAACCCCTTCCTAATTTTAATCATTCAAATTCTAATGTCTCATTATTTTTAATTATAATTATGGGTATGATTAATGTGTGTTCTAAAAGTTCAAGTTAAGCAAATTAAAAAATATGTATATTTGTATAGTTTTTATTGCACAGACCTTTTATGTAAAGTGTACAAATATGGCTTTGAGAGTACACATTAATAAAATTTTGAATCATATAAAGTTTTACGAGACACAATTTAATGATTAAAATACATTACAACAATAAAAAAATTAGAAATAAAGAATCTTTTGCTGCCGAAAAGAAACTTAAAACCTTATAGCCTTTGCCAACTTGGGCAAACTCTCCTGGTTCAACTAACCACCATCTCCAAATTAGGAAATTCTATTTCAGTTAAGCCACAGGATCACAAAAAGAGACCCAATAAAAAATATGGAGTTCATTTGTTGAGGGCATGTGTGCCACAAGGCCCCCACTTTGGATACCCTCCACTAGTGTGGCCCGTTTATTTATATCTCTTTTGCGTTTCATTCTAAGATATATTTTTTGTGATTTCTTACCTTGTGTTTTTTTATGTTACCCATGTGATTAGCTTTTTTGAAGTAGACATGGCAACAACAATGGCAATGATGCACATGCTGAGGGTGATTCCATGGTGGCCACTGATATTGGCAACAGCAAGAATACATAGCCCAACCACCCCTAACCCCTTCTGGCCTTGAGCTTATATTACGGAAAGATTCAGCCCAAAGGGGATTGGGCTAAGTATAGTTGTTCACTCATACAATACATGGTTCCGGACACAAAACATAACCACTTAGGTGAGTATTTAAAAATAAAAATGTTAAAAATTCACACTAATTACTAACTATACATAGGCCCTGTTTGGTAGAGCTTTTTAATTAAAGGATAATCAAAAAGCAAAAACTAAAAGAACTCTACCCAAACTTTAAATAATCAATTTTTTTCAACTTATTTAAACTATTTCTGCCTAATAAGTTATAACCACAAGCTCTACCAAAATCTGAAACAGACTTCCAAATCAAAATAAACTATAATCACCTCCAAAAGATGTATAAATAGTCCCTAATGAATTGTGAACCCATACCAATATAGATGTGGTAAAGAGTTTTAACTTAATCTGTAATTTAAAAATTGACAATGTTTGAATGAAAGACTAAAAATTGAATGCGCAGTGCCCAATTTCGTCAAACTTTTAAGAACAAAGCATTTTTAAATGTCAAAATCCAATATTAAAGAACAATTCCAATAACCTCGCATATATATGTAGCATAACCAGAAATGCTCTCTCTCTTCACCACAAAGTGAAATCAACTTGGTGGAGAATGGTGATGAATATGGCAAACACCGAGTTGTTCGGTGTACAAGAAGCATTTTTCCATAATCATCCATGTACTCATAGGATGGTAACTTGTCAACCTAGGGGTGTACTGACCAAAGAAACAGAGGCCTTAATTGCTGTTCTGGGTCTGTTAGAAAATAGCTTTAGCATAGCTACTTAAAATATTAAAAAAATTTAATAAAAACAAAAAAATACGAAAAATAATAAAGTAAAATTTTCTGAAAAGTATTTTTTTAAAAATGGAAACAAGCAAAGTGGCATGGTAAATTATATATATTGGGCATATTCTAAAGTTGTGGCCTTGGATCAATTTTTTAGGATAAAGGAACCACTTTATGTCTAATGCCCATAACATTTTCCTCCTTAAATGCTGAGTACGGACAGATCATTTCATCCTGGGAGATAGACGTCCAAATTCTGAAAGCACCGTGGAGATGACGAATCTGTCTTAAGGACACAGTGTTAAACACTGGACTTGATCAGAAAAGTTATTCAAATAAATTAACCAAGTAAGTTGTTTAATTTTATTCTGTTTTTTATTTGTTTATTTAATCAGATTTTATTTTTGTTTTTGTAACAAAATAAAATATGTGGTTTTATTTATTTATTTTTATTTCGAGTTTGATTTTTGTAATCAAACAAATTCTCTCATTTTCGTTATTTCTTTATATTCTTGTTGTTGTTTTGTACACAAAAAAATTTAATCTTTTTAAATACAGTGAAGATTGTCCACCACCAGGTAACATGCACACAATTATTATGTTAAAAAAAATGAAAATAAATAAATAAATAAATAGTTTCATAATGCTATACAATAGCAAGATTCACCTCAAAATGAAAATTGAATAAATATGAACCGCCTTGTTTGGTTTGATTTTGAGAGAGTAATTTTGGAGAAATTTTTTCAAAATTTTGTTTGATTTAGTGATTTTGGAAAATAATTTCTAAAATCACTTTCTCTCTCCTACATATCAATCAATTACTTTTTCTCTCTCCTCTCTTATTCTCAATCACTTTTTCTCTCATACATATTTACTCAACTACAACAAGCTATCAAATCATCCCAAACTCCCATACTCTAAAACTATTTCCAAAATATGCAATCAAACAAACCAAAAAAAATTTTAAACTCTCTCTAATTTTTTTTTTAAAAATTTATCTTTCAAACCCAAACCAAACAGGAACAGGGTTCCTGCTGTGCTCAAAGCACAACAGTGACTATGGTGCCTCCATTTGAGGTGTATTATGATCTTATTTTTATAATTTAAACCGTCATTTTGTAAGGTTTGTTGAGTACTTCATGCTTATCAAAAATCATATTAATCGGATATTAATAACTATATGATCGAATTGCATATTGTTTATGCTATTTCTCAAAAGAAAAACTTATTATTTATTGTTTTAGTTATCAATCATATAGTTGTTGATATCTAATTAATATAATTTTTAATAAGCATAAAATACTTAACAAACTCTACAAAATAACAATTTAAATTATAAAAATAAAATTATACAACAATGATTCATCCCACTAAAAACATCACCACTAATAGCACTAATGCATTAAAAAAGTAAAAAAAAAAAAAAAAACACAACTCCAAGACCAAAACATTACATCATTAATGACGAGACCCACTACCACCTAATTAATGGGAGCACTAATTAGTGCTCCCAAACATTTTTCTATATTTTTTTGGAATGTGTAACGTTTTTGGTGTGAAAAATATCATTTTGTCTTAAATCGTACGACTCGCATAAACGACGCGCCATACGACGAGCGTGACACCACCGCGTCCCAAACCTCTTTATATCTCTACAAGCAGTGCAACTCTTCACACGTGAGCAAGAACGTATGGTTGGCCTCCGCCATACCCACACCACTCTATTCTCATCAGTACAGTACCTACCAGATGACGCACTATCACTACCGTTGGATCCTTCAATACTTCCAGTCCGACCATGGTAGCACCACTTGCTTCCTCTTCCTCCTCCTCCTTTCTCCACCCTGGGTCGCCGCACAGACATACAATTCACCACCACGAGAGGACACTAAGATTAGAGTAAGCCCAGCGATGACGATCGTAATCATCTGCCTCATGACCACCTTTCTAATCATGGCCTGCGTCTCCGTCTACATCCGCCACTGCGTCCAGCACCGCATGGCCCACAACTTCACCCTCGAGTCCGACGGCGTCGGAGCCAGCCGCCGCTCCCGCAGGCGCGCTTCTTCCCGCGGCCTCGACCCTGCTCTAATCGACTCCTTCCCTATCTTCTTCTACTCCGAGGTCAGTGGGCTCAAGATAGGCAAGTGTGGCCTAGAATGCGCCGTCTGCTTAAACGAGTTCGAACACGACGAGACTCTCCGGTTACTCCCCAGTTGCAGCCACGTCTTCCACCCCGAATGCATCGACGCCTGGTTGTCTTCCCACATCACCTGCCCGGTTTGCCGGGCCAACCTCGTCCCAAAACCCGACGAAACTCGGGGTTTTGTACTGAGTCACGACACGGGACGCGAGTCACCTCACATTCATGATGATAATTTGGATGGAATTGATGATAATTTCATCGTATCCGTACACTCTCCGGAGGTTATTAATCCTATTGAGATGCCAAGTCGGAATTGTTCGACTCGGTCGACTCCGAGGAAGGAGCGAGTGGAGGGAAAGCTTCTGAGGTCGTACTCGACCGGGGACTGGCTGGTTCGACCGGGCGAGGACTTTGAGCGGTTCACACTGAGGTTACCGGAGGAGGTGAAGAACCGGTTGGTGAGCTCAAGCTTAAGCCGGACCAAGAGTTGCTTGGCGTTCCCGAGGGCGAGTAGTGGGAGGAAAGGTTATAGGACTAGCAGTGGAGGAACCGGTCGGGGAAGGAACTTTTTTTTCGAGCGGTTCGACCGAGATGGGAGACCGGACCGATGGGGCCTTGCTGTTACGCCGCCGTTTTTTTCTCGGGCCGATTCGGCCCGATCGCCCAAGGCGGTTGGAAGTGGTGGTGGCGGCGGCGAAGAGTCGAACACGGTACCAAAGACTTTGTTCAAGTCGTAACGTCGCCGTTACATCGGTTGCTTGGAGGAATGGAGAGTAACAAGGCGAGTGTTAACGGTGGAGAACGGTCGTTTGATAGACTCAGACTCGATGGTCAAGTTTTGGCTGACTGGTAGATAGTTTTTGTGTGCTGGTTTCACATTTCAGAATAGTATAAGGACATGTTTGATTGGACGGATTAGAGTATGTGATTGAGATTATTAATTTGTAGGTCTAATTATTCTATATTTGTTTTAATTTAGGATTATTAATCCAATGGATAATTAATCTAACAAATTTGTAGGATTATTAGTAATGGGGTAGGGATGAAATTATTAATCTAATGGATATTAATCTAATTAGATAGTGAATACTACATTTTTTTAATAGGATTATTAATACTTCACTATTAATTTTGTGAATCAAATATGAACTAAATTCATAATTTTTATATTGAATTTTATCTAAAAGATCAATATGTGACTTAGATTTATGCTATACATAAGCTACACAATATAGTAGATAAATTTTCTTAATCTAAATTCTAAGTTAGTAGAGTTTTTATTAACATTTTCCAAATAATTTTAGAATAAAACTTTAGACAATACCTCGTTTTTGGTGGTGGTGATGGTGTTGTGTTTGGTCTATCTTTTTGTTATATCAAATGTTTTGGTATTATCGTGAATTTGTTTTTTGTGTCCTGGTGTGGACATTTTTCAGAAGACAATTGTTTGTGAGATAGCAAGAAGTTTTCGTATGAAAAAATAAAAAAATCATAAAATTTGGGTTAGACGGCATGGAGTCACTACTCTAGTTTTTCATTGGCATGATTAATATTGTAATATTGTCTCAACCATTAGAGTAATGCGATTTGTGATTTTTTGTTTGTTACAATTACAATCATTAAATTTTTACTATAGGGTCTCTTGGAAAGAAAATAAAAAGTCAATTTTTACCTTTTTATTCATTTTAGGTCACATTATTTCTCACATTTTTTACTCATCAAAAAATAAAATAGATCAAAAAAATTAAAAAATTAACTTTTTACCAACTTCTCGAAACATCCTATGTTTTTCACTACCAATAGAAAAGGTTATGAAATGGCTGAGATGTGAGATTAATTTTGTTTTATAATTAATGCCCACTCACATTATGTTAGCTTCATCTGATGTTGTTTACCATTTCCTATTTGGAAATAACTTTTTCTTTTATTATTAAAGAAATCAATAAAGATAAAAATAAAAATAAAAAATTAGAATATTTAATAAGATAAAATATTATATCTTATGTATCAATTAAATTTTTTTTTTCTTCTCACAATCATCTATTCAACTATCAACAAAAAAAATTATAAATAATATTCACAAATAATCTCAAATACAATTTTTTTTTCACATCATAAAATAATTAAAAAATTAAAAAATCAACTAAAATACTCAAGTTCTGGAACAAAGCCTTAATATTTATTCAGATGAACTTAATTTTGTTGGTGGGAAGTAATTGGCTATCCAAGATTGTAGTGGGAGGCCGAATTGATACATGAATGAAGCATTAAAATATATAGTTAAAGCCCATAACCGACACTATGGGCCCACCCAATTACGATCTTATCATTTATTTTTGTGAAAGGGTAGAGAAATTATTCATTGCCCACCATTTATATTATATTTGGACAAATACTTAATTGTCTTTCCATATAAGACGAACAAGTAATGTAACTTATTATTTCAATCAATAATATTTATATTGGGCCACCATCTATTAATAATTTTTCAAAGAATAATATTATATGTACTAATTAATATATTAATTAATAAATTAACAGATGATGTGATATAATTTTAAATGTTTTAAGTATTTGTAATTTATATAATACGTGGAATCAGTAATAATAGTATAAAACTAATTGATGTACTAATGTATACATTAATTAGTATATGTAATGCTACCGTTTCTTGAAAAAGTAGGTTGTCTATGACACTTTTGACTTCAGGCTAACCCCTTCCTAATTTTAATCATTCAAATTCTAATGTCTCATTATTTTTAATTATAAAATTATGGGTATGATTAATGTGTGTTCTAAAAGTTCAAGTTAAGCAAATTAAAAAATATGTATATTTGTATAGTTTTTATTGCACAGACCTTTTATGTAAAGTGTACAAATATGGCTTTGAGAGTACACATTAATAAAATTTTGAATCATATAAAGTTTTACGAGACACAATTTAATGATTAAAATACATTACAACAATAAAAAAATTAGAAATAAAGAATCTTTTGCTGCCGAAAAGAAACTTAAAACCTATGAAGCCTTTGCCAACTTGGGCAAACTCTCCTGGTTCAACTAACCACCATCTCCAAATTAGGAAATTCTATTTCAGTTAAGCCACAGGATCACAAAAAAGAGACCCAATAAAAAATATGGAGTTCATTTGTTGAGGGCATGTGTGCCACAAGGCCCCCACTTTGGATACCCTCCACTAGTGTGGCCCGTTTATTTATATCTCTTTTGCGATTCATTCTAAGATATATTTTTGTGATTTCTTACCTTGTGTTTTTTTATGTTACCCATGTGATTAGCTTTTTTGAAGTAGACATGGCAACAACAATGGCAATGATGCACATGCTGAGGGTGATTCCATGGTGGCCACTGATATTGGCAACAGCAAGAATACATAGCCCAACCACCCCTAACCCCTTCTGGCCTTGAGCTTATATTACGGAAAGATTCAGCCCAAAGGGGATTGGGCTAAGTATAGTTGTTCACTCATACAATACATGGTTCCGGACACAAAACATAACCACTTAGGTGAGTATTTAAAAATAAAAATGCTAAAAATTCACACTAAATTACTAACTATACATAGGCCCTGTTTGGTAGAGCTTTAGAATCAAAAAGCAGAAACTAAAAGAAACCCTACCCAAACTTTTAAATAATCAATTTTTTTCAACTTATTTAAACTATTTCTGCCTAATAAGTTATAACCACAAGCTCTACCAAACAATCTGAAACAGACTTCCAAATCAAAATAAACTATAATCACCTCCAAAAGATGTAATAAATAGTCCCCTAATGAATTGTGAACCCATACCAGTATAGATGTGGTAAAGAGTTTTAACTTAATCTGTAATTTAAAAATTGACAATGTTTGAATGAAAGACTAAAAATTGAATGCGCAGTGCCCCAATTTCGTCAAACTTTTAAGAACAAAGCATGTCTTAAATGTCAAAATCCAATATTAAAGAACAATTCCAATAACCTCGCATATATATGTAGCATAACCAGAAATGCTCTCTCTCTTCACCACAAAGTGAAATCAACGTTGGTGGAGAATGGTGATGAATATGGCAAAACACCGAGTTGTTCGGTGTACAAAGAAGCATTTTTCCTATAATCATCCATGTACTCATAGGATGGTAACTTGTCAACCTAGGGGGTGACTGACCAAAGAAACAGAGGCCTTAATTGCTGTTCTGGGTCTGTTAGAATAGCTTTAGCATAGCTTTAGCAGACTTCATTATTATTTGTATAGCTTTATGATAGACTAACTTTATATTATTAATTGTATAGTGTTTGCTTTCGGTGATAATGGTGGTATCCAATGCCCCTTTCTCTCTCTATAAAGAGAGCCTTCATCTCTTTGTAAATCACACAACATAATACAAACATTTCAGAGTCTCTCTCTCACTCTATAGCTTCTCTCCCTCTCTCAAACTAATCTTTCAGGGTCAATCTGAAACATGAAAGTGGACCAAACCACCCTGATTTGTCCAAATCCAAAAATGCAATGAGCTTAAGAATGAATTGACGTACTTAAACTATGATTCATCAGTATTATCTGGATTGGGACTCGTCCACTTTTGAACATGAGCAGTAGCCTTCTTGGCCTGCAATACACACATTTGGACGAGAAAAAACATTTGAATATCAGTTCATATATATTTTGGATAATAAAAAAAAAGTCAAAAATGAAATTAAATTTGGTAAATAACTAATATAAATACCTCATTTTCCCAATCGCATCGCATTGTTATGATGGCCAATATTACTGTTTGGACAGCCGTTCCACCAAAGATCATCCCTCCCCAAATGCCCTGATTTTGTCCAAACCCAGACTGATTATCATAAGCTGATGAACATATAGTAAAACACTATTTCATATGTTTATTTTCTTTCAACTTTTAACTATATTCCTTTTTATCTTATTTGGCCCTTTGATTTTTACAAAGACTATTTAGTTTTAGTGAAAGGTATCAACGTTTCAAGATTCCTACCAAATTGTATAATTAGAAATGCATTAAGTAGAAGGGGTAGAATTTTCCGAACAGAGTATCTACATAGCCCAATTCTAATGTCGCGTTTAATTTATTGGCCATAAGACGGTCATTTTTCTTTTCAATCTATAAGTGAGGAATACAAAAATGTTTAATAGCACTAAAAGTATAGTCCTAATAAGAGCTTTATTTATGTGACAGTAAGCCTCACTGATGAATGATTTGATATATGTATCTTTTTTATTTTATTTTATTTTTAACTTCATGTCATATTATTAACGTCATTATTAGAGTTTTAAATTTAAAATTATAAATCATGTTTTAAATTTAGAATTATAAATCATTACTTGTGAGGAATAAGAGAAGAGGAAGTTGCATCACACAACAGTGAAACTCGAATTTTCGCGCCATGCAAGGGACTGTTCTGATCCACCAGCCAATCATTGGCCTTTGACCCATGACACTAATTTAACCACTATAAAAATAAATAAATGTTTCCAAAAAAAAAAAAAAAAACAAACATACCTCAACACCCCAATCAAATACCCATCCAAAAACTATACCAAGAGGAACCCCAACAATGTAGTAGCATCCTAAATTTATGTATGCAACCTTGGACTGCCATCCTGATCCAACGGCCACCCCTGCACGATTACGAATAAACACATAAATTTCTCAACTATACATATCCCAAAGTAATAAAAATACATATACTAGAAAATTTATTTCAAAATTGAAAATTGTTCAAATATATATAATCGAAATTCACCGGATAGAACTGGTTGAATGCTGTTGAGAAGAATGGTGACTGCGAGGAGCACGGAGAGGTCATCGACCGCATCTAGGACGACAGAGCTCGATGTAAAGATCAATGCAATCTGGTGATGAAAGATCATTATCAGCGCGCAGAAGATGAGACCGATGATCGTTGACTGCACCACCGATACTATTGATGCGAATTTCGCCGCCTTCCCGTTTCCTGCGCCTAGCTCATTTGCAACCCTTACACTGCAAAACTTCACCATATGATAAAATTTTGGAAGACAACTACCTTGGATCCAGAGAGATAACGGGTATAAATTTTGCCAGAGCCATTTTTTGTAAGCCTATAATGAGAGGGATGGAGAGAAAATTTTGATTCCACCAATCTTTATTCAAAATTTGACATAACATTTCATAAAAGATTAATGATTTATCTACACAATTTGCTCTGCTTGAATACATATAATTGAGACTCTTACAAATCAAAGTTTCAATTGTATATATTCATATAGAACAAATTGTGTGAATGTAACGGTACTGTAAAAATTATAATTTAACAAATGAAATTGAGTAACCAATAAAGTTAAAATTTAGAGGGATTTAACCATATTATAACTTTCATAATAATCTGACTACCGATTAAAAATGATATACGTCCACCAATCACCTTAAGATACCACGTACTTTCTAAACCCCCCATAAAACCTGAAAACTCTAGCCATTCATGCCAAAGATAAAAGAGAAGAGGTCAAATCCCTATTTCGTATGTTGCATGTTGGTCGGGTAGTTTGGGATACAGCTAAAAAAACATTATTTGGCTGCGTTTGGTCCCTTTTGAAATTATGATTCTAATTAAAACTCTTTTCAAAACTCATAATCAAACACACTATTCAAAACTCAATTCTAAAATTATTTTCAAAATTCATAACTAAACACACAACTCAAAACTCAATTTAAAAAATATTTTTTAAATATTAATTTTTTAAAAAAAATATTTTTTATTTTAAATATATAAAAAATTATTTTCAAAACTCATAACCAAACACACAACTCAAAACTTAATTCAAAATTCTTTTTAAAATTCAAAATCAAACTCTTTTCAAAACCCTATTTAAAAAAAAAATTCAAAAAATATTTTTTTAATTTATTTTTTAAAACTATTTTTAGAATCATGATTTGAGTGTGGAGTCGTATTTTGAGTTATGAATTTTGAGTTGAGTTTTGAAAAGAAAAAATTTATTTGATTATGAGTTTGAAAATAATTTTGAGTTGTATTTTGAAATTTTTGGGATTTATTTTTTAAAAATATTTAAATATTTAAAAAAAAAATTAATTTAATTTTTTTAACGTAAAATTATTTTTTTTTTTTTTTTTGCACATAATTTTTTTTTAGTCTTTTTCAATTTGAAAGTTGATGTCTTAAAGTTTTGAAAATCAAAATAAATGTCAAATTATCATGTTCCTTTATAAAAAATCATAAATGATGAAGAATCATTATTTGAAGAGCAATTCTAATTATTAAAAATTTAATGGGACTTGATGGTCTAAAAAATCTTAGTTAAGACTTTATGAAGTATTAGTTCATAAATCAGACTTGTGTACAAATGCCCCAAAAATAATTTAATTTTTCTATTTTTTTCAAAAAAAAAAACTAAATTTTTTTTTTAGTTTTTTCAATTTGAAAGTTGATGTTTTAAAGTTTTGAAAATCAAAATAAATGTCAAATCATCATGTTATTTTATAAATAATCATAAATGATGAACAATCATTGTTTGAAAGTTTGAAAAGAGTTTTGAGTTGTATTTTGAAATTTTTTAGATTTATTTTTTTAAATATTTAAAAATTTTCTTAATTTTATTTTTTTAGGGTAAATATTTTATATTTTAAATATTTATTTAATTTAATATGCACTATATTTCATACATTTGTGTGTTGTATTTTTTCTAAATATTTTTAAAATATTAAAAATTTTACAAAAATTATTTTTTATTTAAATATATAATTTTTTATAAATATTTTATTTTATTTTTTAAATATATTTTTAAATATTTTAATTTTTCTTGTTATGCGTTTGGTTACGATTTGAGTGTAGAGTTTTGAAAATAGTGTGGAATTTCGAGTTATATGTTTGGTTATTAGTTTTCAAAACTCATAACAAAACAAATATTCTATTTTAAAAACTCAACTCACAATTTCACACTTAAATCACAACTTCACACTCAAATCATAATTCCAAAACTAAACCAAACGGAGCCTTTTTTTTTTCTTCAATTTTTTTTGTTTAATTGTTGTTTTTTTTTTCAATTCTGTCTTCTTTTTTTTCTTTTTCTGATCTATCTAGTATAGAATAATCTTTAAAAAAAAAATTAATAAAGACAAAAAAAAAAATCAACTATTTGTACTTTTTTCCCCCCCTTTTTTTCTTTTTCTTTTTTTTTTTTTTAACCGGTTTTTTTTTTTTTGTCTCTAGCTTACTTTTTTCCAATTTTTTTTTTCATTTCATTTTCGGATTCATTTAGTTGAACAGAACCTAAAAATCTATAATAAAAAAAAAATTTGAGTTTTAAATTTTTTTTCTTACTAAAAACGAAATCAAAATTGATACTCCCTCCGTCCCAAAATAATGGTCCCTTTTGGGGAATCTAACTTTTTTTGGTAGTACAATTATTGTATTTGAAAAAAATTGATTTTCCAAAATTATCCTTTTGATAGTACATTTTTTGGGAATATCAATGTCATAATTGTACTTTTTATATTATTTATTAATTTAAAAGAAGGGCAAAATAAGAAATTTATATTATTTTTGTACTTGATTTTTGAAGAGGAACTAATATTTTAAGATAATAAAAAATAGAATAAGGGACTAATATTTTGAGACGGAGGGAGTAAAAAAAATAACGAAAAAAAGCCAACTTTAAACACTTCCACCAGTAATGCTAATCTAATAAGAGTGGGACATGGGTGTGCCTAAGGGTCTGCAGTAGGCAGGGCCGCAAAAACTTCTCTGGCCAGTGGGCTAGCCCGAATAAAGTTTCAAATAACCGGCCTTGATTAAACCACTAACCAAATAATCGGCTGCAAAAAATTCATGGATTTTATAAGGAAAAATAGAAAAAATATGTAAAATATAAGTAAAATATAATTATATTATATATATATATATATTTTAAATTTTTATTTAAATCTATGGATCAAATACAACGTAAGGTTACGAAAATTTTTCCTAAAACGCGACTTCCCAAAACACGAAGTTAAATAAATTTATCATTATAAAAATATTTCACTATAAATAATTAAAAATAAATTAGAACTCACAAACATAAAATAAAATATTTCATTATTTATCACTTATAAATTTCTCAATATCATTACTAACACTAAATTATCATTCCATAAACACAAACTATAAATCCAAAAAGTTTTTAAAAAAATTCATTATAACAACGAGAGATAAGTAGTTAAAAAATTCACTTACAAATAAATAAGTTTCATCAATAGTATCTCCTGATAATTATGTTTCTATATATATATATATATATATATGTTTTTAAAAGTTTACTCGAATCTTTGGCATTAATGAGCTATGTTTCTCCGTCGATAGTGCAAGAATCCAATCAAATTATCTTTATCTTTAAAGCAACAACGAGAACCATGTGTTGGTTTTATCTGTCTCTAGCATAAATCCCAATCAAATATAAAAGCAAACAAAATATATAGGGCAAATTACAAACACCCCCTCGAGGTTTGATAAACATACAGATTCCCCCTGAGATTTGAGAAATTACAAATTACCCCCTGAGGGTCAAATTTTCATAACAAATTAGGGAAAATTAGGAGGAAATCTGTATGAAAATAAAAACCTCAGGGGACAATTTGTTATGGAAATATAAACCTCAGGGGCGGGATGTAATTTCTCAAACCTCAGGAGGAAATCTGTATTTTCACCAAATCTCGAGGGGGTATTTGTAATTTGCCCAAATATATATCAAGCAACAAAGAGTGAAGGGCTAGTGTTTTTAGGTAATAATATTTTAATGTGCTCACAATCGCATTATATGATGAAAATTTTGGAATATAAAATTTTACAATATACTCGTATAATTGTTAATACATTAAAATAAATTTAAAAAATTAAAAATAAAACATTCCGCGTCAATTTCCTTAGCTTTCTAGCGTAATATTTTAAAAACTGGACCAATGCGTGAATCAAAAAATGAATCAGGTGGATGAGTCGGATTGAACCAAAATCGAGCTGTGACGTAATAAATATGTTAAAATTATATTTAAATAAAAATATAAGTAATAAAATTAAAAATTAAAAATATTAAATTATCTTAAATATTTCTCTTAATATTTTTTTACTAAAAAATATAATAATATATTTTAAAATATTATTAATTTTAATTTTGGAAGAGGAAATCAAATATTCAACATTCCCTCCATATGATTTTAATTCAAATAATTTAATTGAAAGAAGAGTAAAAATTTTGGAAGAATATCAAAATTTCAAGTCTCCCTCTAATAAATTTGATTGAATCCCATATGGATTTCTTGAGTTTTTTTGAAAGAATTTTTTTCTTATAAATGGATAGAGACTTTCACAAAAAATTTGTTGGAATGGTTGAAAGAAAAGGAAAACTATATATCTGTGTATATTGAATTATTTAAATACAATAGAAACTTAGATAAGTATAGAAGGAGATAGAGATAGAGAGAAACAGAGATACAAGGAGATAGAGATAAATGTAAATCTAATATATACATTAATAGCCCCCCTCAAACTCAAGGTGGGTCAGCATCAACCAACTTGAGTTTGGAAACTAGATCACTGAAACAACTAAAGGGATGAGCCTTGGTGAAAATATTAGTAGGTTGATCAACAGAAGAAATAGGAAGAAGATGAACAATGCCATGTATAACATGTTGTCGAATGAAATGACAATCAATCTCAACATGTTTAGTGCGATCATAGATGACATTATGGTAAGCAAACTGAATGACACTCTGATTGTCACAATAGAGAGAGGTGGCACCAGGAAAAGAAACACCCATGTCAGTAAGGAGCCAGCGAAGCCATAAAAGTTCATAAGTAGTGACAAGAGCATGATACTCAGCCTCAGTACTAGAACGAGCAACAAGAGTTTGCTTCTTGCTACGCCAGGCAATAAGAGAGTCACCCAAGAAGAAACAAAATCCTGTAGTAGAACGATGATCAGTAGGACCCTCTACCCAATCTGCATCAAAAA